GTAAAATTTTACAAGTTTTGTTAGAATTATACAATGAAGCCCACGATAGAGACACTGATAGGTTTCCAGATTAAGGTACATGCTGGAAATGCCTAATTGTTGAACTGGCCAAAATATTTTTTTAAGTGTAATTCCCAAAAAAGATAAGTCCTTAATCTGATTATAAAGAGAGGAGGCGCTTGTGTTAGGGAGATAAGCCATGTATTTTTAGCACCTTCTCTCCCTTGCTATAAAATCGAGGAATCTTAAATTCACTATCCACTAATTATCGGAGAGCACACTCTCATTTCAGACTTTTTTCTTTCTATCCTCTAATAGATTGACAAAGTCTGGTGCCAGGCTTTTCTTTGCTGACCTGGGCCAGCAGCAGTAATGCTTTTTTTGGAAACTGCTAGATCCGATCTAGCTGTTGCTTTATGAAGGGAGCCCCTTTTCCGAGGCTTTTCTTGCGGTCGTTTTGCTAGAATGCCCCATTTGTATGTGAGCCTAAAACTTTAAGAGTAAATTTAGTTTTGTTGTTTAAGAAAATCTGGTGTCCAGTGTGGTTATATTGGCACCTAAGAGACTATCTGTAGAGAAAGAATGAAAAGTATGTACAGAGCAAGTTAAATGAGTATTGTGTCTTCTGAAAACCTTGCACTTAAATGTCAAAGGCAATTCTGTTTAGGTCTGAGCTCAGAGTGGACTTGCCAGAGCAGTAGTATCTTCTGTTTCATTTCTCCAATTGGGGAAGCTTTATCTTCATATATGGAGCCCCCAGAATAGCTAAGCGTATTTGTAGTAATTGGAATTTTAATAGATGACCTGAGGGTACCTGGCTGACTCCGTTGGTAGAGGGGATATAATGAGCACACTAGGAGACTGTTAAGATTGCACACAAGTTCCCCCTGCTTGTGTTCCCTTTCTCGCTGTGTCTCTCTCTGTCAAATAAATAAATAAAATCTTTCAAAAAAAAAGGGGGGGGGGGCGCCTGGGTGGCTCAGTCGTTAAGTGTCTGCCTTCGGCTCAGGTCATGATCCCAGGGTCCTGGGATCGAGCCCCGCATCAGGCTCCCTGCTCTGCAGGAAACCTGCTTCTCCCTCTTCTACTCCCCCTGCTTGGGTTCCCTTTCTCGCTGTGTCTCTCTCTGTCAAATAAATAAATAAAATCTTTCAAAAAAAAAAAAGAGGGGGGGCGCCTGGGTGGCTCAGTCGTTAAGTGTCTGCCTTCGGCTCAGGTCATGATCCCGGGGTCCTGGGATCGAGCCCCGCATCAGGCTCCCTGCTCTGCAGGAAACCTGCTTCTCCCTCTTCTACTCCCCCTGCTTGGGTTCCCTTTCTCGCTGTGTCCCTCTCTGTCAAATAAATAAATAAAATCTTTCAAAAAAAAAAAAGATTGCACGCAAGGAGAGGAGAGAAACACAACCAACACAACTTCAAAGAAGTGGTAGGTTCGTGGCGGGGGGTGGGGGGGCTGGCGTACAGTGCACAAGCAGGTTGAGAGCACAGGACGCTAGGGTAACCCTTGGTTATCTTCCCTGACTTTTCCTTAGTAGCCGCAAAACCGAGAAAGAATCTCTCCGGAGGGCTAACGGTACCATTAAAGGCATAGTGATGCTAATCAACCACGCTCTGGGTTCAACGCTGCAAGCTACCCAAACAATGGGAAAGCTTGCAGGCTCCCTGGGGTTTCAGAACTGACTGCAGCAATGGCCGCACAGCACGAAACACATCCTGAAGACCTGTGGACTTTTCCTCCAGTCTTGGTACCCAGGCATCCAAGCCTAGGTCTTGTGCTTGCCCCCAGCTGCACCCGGCTCCGGAGAGAAGGATTTGGATCTTCTAGTTAGAGTAATGCCCGGCAGGCACTGTCTCCCACAGGGGCAACAGGGTGCTGTTGGGAAGAGGGTTTGGTTGCTAGACAGCAAAAAGGAAAAGAAAAAAAAAAAAGACCTGCAAACTGTATCAACTATTTATCTGAAGGTCCGTCTCTTTGTAAATATTAACCATCTTTCTCAGACTTAGCCTCCATGTATGGATAGTATTAATTTTTCTTTAATTATTTGTCCATTGTTTTAAAAAACCCTCAGGACTGTCTTTTTAAATTCAGTGTTTATATTTGTCAAAGTTGTGTGTGTACATTGCTCAGAGTCATAGTTCAACCTGGTTTTGAATGACAAGCCGTGTTCTGTATCCTCCCATTCATATTTTCTATTCCCCAGAGAAAACTATTTTCAATTTCTAACTGATTTATTTGCTATTTGTCTTCGTATTTCTGAATTGCACACTGTGGCTATTCTGTTTTAGGCATTGTTTATCGACTTCCCACTATGGAAAATGAGTTTTGTTCTTTCTCAACACTTGCTGCCTGACCACACATACATGCTCTTCTTCCCCTATCCTCCCAGGATAATGGTATTGGATCCATAGTCCATGTTTTTATTATTATGACTATGTCAGCCCTGTTTGCAATGGTGCCATGTAGTATACTGTGACTGCTTTTTTCTTCCAATACCACCTTTGATTTTTCCCAGATGTTAATTATTGTCTTGGTTTTTTATTCATTTACTTAGATTTTCTGTGCTTCTCACTAATGAACCCCCAAATGTACCCAAACTATAAATCTTTCCCATTTAAACACATCAGATATTCTATGAATTTCATCTTCTTAAAACCTCTCCCTAAGCATTCTGACCAGCTCTTGTCTGGGTCCTTGGCAGGTTGCCTTCCAGGCCTGCTGAAGAGCTTTTACCCTGGGGTCTCCTTCACCTGTCTCTTGTTTTAGATCCATTGCTTCCTGGATCCAATATCGTCTTCTTCCTTAGTCTTCCCTATCATTTTGAAGTAGCATATTATCATTAGTTTCTCAAGCAAGTAAATCTTTTTTTAGTTTTAGGAATTTCCCTGAGAATTTTAAAGGCACTGCTTCATTTTTTTCTATCCTCCAGAGTCTCTGTTGAAGTGTGATTCATTCTGATTTTTTTTTTCCCACTCTGATTCTGACCTTTATGTGACAGCTTGTTTTCCCTTTGGGAGCTTTGCTTTAACCTTGACGTTCTGCAAGTTCATAATGATGTGACTTGAGCACTTGCTAGATCCTTTCAGTCTGGGACAATTTTCTTGAATTAATTCATTGATGACTTCCTCTCCTTGGTTTTTCGGTTCTATCTTGAATTTCTGTTAGATTTTGGATCTCTTAGACTGATACCCAGTTTTTGTATCTTCACTCTCCTGTTTTCTATCCTTGTGGCTTTTTATTCTTCTTTCTGAAAGTGTTCCTCAGCTTTGTCTTCCAAACCTTGCATTGAGTTGTTTGGTTCTGCTATCAAAATGTGTATTTTTCGGGGCACCTGGGTAGCTCAGTCATTAAGTGTCTGCCTTTGGCTCAGGTCATGATCCCAGGGTCCTGGGGTTGAGCCCCGCATCGACCTCCCTGCTCAGCAGGAAGCCTGCTTCTCCCTTTCCCACTTCCCCTGCTTGTGTTCCCTCTCTTGCTGTGTCTCTCTCTGTCAAATAAATAAATAAAATCTTTTTTAAAAAAATGCATATTTTTCTAGCATTCTTTTTTGTTCTCTGAATGTTTTTTCCTTTCTATTAGTAATTCATTTATTGTATGATGAGCAATACAGAAACTAGAAAATATAACTACTTAAGTTGGCATTTTATGGCAAAAAGAGATTATCGGGCGCCTGGGTGGCTCAGTTGGTTAAGCGACTGCCTTCGGCTCAGGTCATGATCCTAGAGTCCCGGGATCGAGTCCCGCATCGGGCTCCCTGCTCAGCAGGGAGTCTGCTTCTCCCTCTGACCCTCCCCCCCTCTCATGTGTTCTCTCTCTCTCTCAAATAAATAAATAAAATCTTTAAAAAAAAAAGAGAGAGATTATCAATTGACTAGCCTCAAAATTTGTAAACTTGAGCCAGAGAAAATCACCTAAAATATACAAAATTCAATTGTATATAATTCTTAGTGTCTGTAAGGGTTATGTTATCTCTGGCTGTTTTGTTTGTTTTTAATACTTCTTTTTTAAAAGTTTGTATCTTCCGGGGTGCCTGGGTGGCTCAGTCGGTTAAGCATCTACCTTCAGCTCGGGTCATGATCTCAGGGTCCTGGGATCGAGCCCCACCTTGGGCTCCTTGCTCAGCGGGGAGCCTGCTTCTCCCTCTGCCTGCCGCTCCCCCTGCTTGTGCTCCCTCTCCTCTCCCTCAAGTAAATAAATAAAATCTTAAAAAATAGAAAAAAGTTTGTAATTTCCTTTGTAGTCTCTTTTTTCTTCTAAGTTGCTTTTTTCTCTTTGTTTTGGTCTGTCTTTCATAGTAAATGCCCTCCTCGGTTTCTGGTGATCCTTGACTAGTTTCTGATATTTAAGAGCAGGCCATTAAACAGGTACTTGAGATCTCTGGATTTGTGAGTAAAACTTATGGGATGTGATCCTCACTGTGGGGGTGGTCTGCATGAGTCACTCCTTGGGATACCTCTTTTATCTGTTTCTTTAGCTCTTTTATCTTGGCTACTCTGATTGTGTTGGAAATTTTTTAATTTTGCACTATTCATTTTCTCTCTCTTTCTTACAATTTTTAGATGTGTAGCCTTTGGTTCTCATGTTGTAGATAAAAATAACCTCCCTGGGGGGGTGCCTGGCTGGCTCAGTCGGTTAAGAGTCGGCCTTGGGCTCAGGTCATAATCCCAGGATCCTGGGAAGGAGGAGCCCTGCGTTGGGCTCCCTGCTCAGCGGGGAGCCTGCTTCTGCTTGTCCCTCTGCCTCTGCCTGCCACTCCCCCTGCTTGTGCTCTGTCAAATAAATAAATAAAATCTTAAAAAAAAATCTCTGCTGGGTCTCTGCTAAGATCTTCCTTTGGATGTCATTTCAACCCTCTTAAACCATCTTATTTGCTTCCATGGCACTTGGCAGATAGGCCAACTTGCTAAAAAGTAAACAGGAGTTGGTAGCAAATCTGAGCACACCTAGAATACAAAGTGAGAGTCGCCTTCAGTGCATTATTTTCCTTAATATATTTTTATCAGAAATTGGATGAACCTCCGGGATGCTGAAACAGGGAAGATACTGTGGCAAGGAACAGAAGACCTGTCAGTCCCTGGAGTGGAGCATGAAGGTACTCCCCAACCCTTTGTCTGCACAGGGCTCTGATGTTTCTGGAGCTGGGCCTAAGCATCAGGGAGCTAAATTAATGCAGACCCTAATGGGCAAACCCCTGAGGGCACAGCATGTGTTGTTGAGATTCCTAGTTCCTTTCCTACCTTTTTTTTCTCTCACTTCCCAAAACTCATTTTGTGCTGAAATTTTAGCATTAGAACATACCTAAAGATATAAACTAAGCTCTCAACATTTTTTTCCAAAAGAAAATTTGCATTTTTATGTCCCTGAATAAAAGAAAAACTAAGGGGTTAAAACCAACAGAACAGAGTAGAGAAGGTGCCCATTCAACCTTTTTCCTGATGAGAGCAGCTAGGGAAGGCCCTTAGATGCACTACCTCTGATGTTTCTTAAATATCTTTCAGGGAGGTGCCTGGGTGTCTCAGTTGGTTAAGTGTCTGCCTTTGGCTCCGGTCATGATCTCAGGGCCCTGGGATCGAGCCCTGCACCTCCGCATCCCTGCATCAAGCTCTCTGCTCAGCGGGAAGTCTACTTCACCCTCTCCCACTCCCTCTGTGCTCTCCCTCTCTCTCTCTCTGTGTCTCAAATATATAAAATTTTTTTTAAAAAAGTAAGGATCTTTCAGTCAGATGCACTTGACCAGTTGGGGACCTCTGCCTTTAATTAAAAAGTGTAATTCTGTTACCAAGGCATTCTCTGAAATTTAACATAGATAATGTGTTCTTTAAATCAGCTCTAAGAAGCTCCCAGAAACTGGAAGCATCATAGTATGTGATTTTCATTGAGAATGGCTTCAATATTTCTTTTTCTTTACCAGCCCGTGTTCCCAAGAAAATCCTCAAGTGCAAGGCAGTGTCTCGAGAATTGAACTTCTCTTCAGCAGAGCAAATGGAAAAATTCCGCCTGGAACAGAAAGTTTACTTCAAAGGGCAATGCCTAGAAGGTATTCTGTGGCCTACTGCTGGAAGCCACAGTTAGAGTGACAGGGAAAAAAGGCAGGACCCAGTGAACTAAAAGCACTGCTTTGGTAACGTTCACTTTGCAACTCAGATTGTGATGGGATCCCTACACCCTGAGAGACTGGGGGCCCCGGGAAAAACAAACAAAAACGAAGCTGCCAGTGACAAGGGCCTTCGAGCCCAACAAGAGGGTTTCTGACCCTGGTGGGCCTGGGCTGGCGCCTGCTTTATCACTGGCAAATTGTAACGTGGTCACGAGGAAGCTGCCGATGAGGGCCTGGTACGGTGCTCTCTGTCTCCTGCGGATCGGACTGGCAAGGCCGCTCTGCATTGAGTTTCCACCGCGAACTGTAAGCGGGCACATATGCGTCTCACAGCTGAAATTCCAAGTGAAAGGCCTATTCTGTTCTTCTGTTTATCATGTACACATAGCCTACTTCTGAGAAAACATTGCTTATACTATATCCGCCCACTGGTCCTCGTCCTTTAGACCCTAGAGCACAGGGAGTAAGCCTCTGGTGTAGTCCAGAGGACAGCCCGAGGGGCCTTCTGTGACCCTTCCCATGCCTCTGACCCGGGAGGTTTCTGATGGCTTCATGTGTGGTTCTTGGGGTAAGAAGAGGCTCACTCTAAAGGGGCAGGGGGTGGACGAGGAGCTCTGAGACTGGGGTGCCCGCTCACCGCTTTTCCTTCTTCCTGCAGAGTGGTTCTTCGAGTTTGGCTTTGTGATCCCGAACTCCACAAACACCTGGCAGTCCCTGATAGAGGCAGCGCCCGAGTCCCAGATGATGCCTGCCAGCGTGCTAACGTGAGTGAGCAGACCACAGGCATTGTGGAGTGTGTCTCGAAGCAGGCATTCCAGGCGGGGGGATTTGTGGTCCTGTTTAGCGGGCCACCCAGGTTGAAAATAAGGGTAAAGAGTATCCAGGGTATTTGAGTTTATAGGTTACTGACTTCTGTCACATGAAAAAGACAGTGTGTGATCGAATGGAAAAAAATTAAAAACTTTAGATTAGACTTTTAGACTAAATTCCTGATTAACCCTGACTTGCTGTGCAATCTTGGACAATGTTTACCTCTTTGGCCTTATTTTTCCCCTCTCTAAACATAGAATTAATAATTCTGTCTCACAGAGGTGGAGTGAGGCTGAAACGAGATGATATGGGAGGAAACTGGCTGGTACTCTATATTAGATCTAGGCTAATTTGCTCACTTTCCTGACTACCAAACTTCTGATACTCTGTACTTTTCTCGAATGGCCTTTGATGAAATCTGACAAAGTTCTAATTTTGTTTTAGAGGATAATGTTTGGTTATAGTTTTTCAGAGACTAGCTTACCATTTTAATAGTTATGCTTCCTGCTCAAAGAATAATTAGTTTGTCCTTTATCCAAAAACCCTGTCAGTAATGGCCTACCAACCATTTTCTCTTGGGAAAAGGTATTAGACTTTTAAAGGTTTTAGTAATAGTGTCTACTAATGAGTTTTTCACACAGATAATTGTGTAATATTGGATTGTCCCTTTAAACAGATCCTTGGTGAAAGCCACACTGAATATAAATAGAGGTTATTTACTTTATAAGTCTTTAATAGATATTTAATTATAACAGTAGGTATTTTTATATTCCAATAGCCAATTAAATCTTGAGTTTCTTATGTACCTATTTTATAATTAATTACCAACAAAAATATATCTGCTGGCTATTAATTACCCTAGGAAAGTACAGGGTAGTATATAGAAGGGCATTCTTTATATTTTATTAACCCCCATTGACTTCTCCTTGGCCAGGCCCAGTTTGTTTCAGGTACTAAAACCAGTAAGTCTATGATGATGTATTTAGGTTTTTTAAGTCATATTTTACTTTTTGGAACCCAAAAGCAGCACCTCTATTGCCCTTAACTTGGTTCAAGAGTGGTTTGGTTCGGAAACTCTGAGATATCCACCTTAAGAAAAATGAAATTCCACTATATGCAATACAGGTGTGCCATTTGGGGTTCTTTGGCTACAAGCCATAGAAATGACTCCAGCTGATATGACAGCTGAAGGGGGGGTGGGGAGGGGAGGCACCGAGACCCAGGCAGCTTGAAAGATACAGATGGCAGGAATCCATGGATGATTTCCTTCAGGAGCAGCCTTAGGAAGCATCCTGCTCCGGGGAGAGAGTCTGATTGGCCCAAATTATGTCCTGTGCCCACCCCTTTGCCAGGTGAAGGAGGGGCTACTTGACTGACCCGTGGACTGGAGATGGGGTGGGTCCCCAAAAGAAGAGCAGAGTGCTATTACCCAAAGTGGTGAAAATAGATGCAGGAAAGGCCAACCCACAGCTGTCTACCAGAGTAGGTGTTGTAGGGAAAGATACCACCCCTAAGGCCTGCAGGTTTCCATGTGTATCAAAAAGTCAGTCATATTTAAAAAAAAAAAAAAAGTCGTACTTATAAGGACCCCTATGTGCAGAGCCCTCTGCTAAGGGCTTTACATACATCAGGGATTAATATCAAGGATTAAGACATGCTCTTTCTTCTGTTCTCTGAATTTGAGGAGAAAAAAATCGAATCACAAAGTTAAATGTCACATTAGACTTCTAACCCCATTTGGACATAGACTTCAGTGTCCCCAGGCCAAGGTGGGTGCATGTCCCCGGGCCCAGCAGACCCAGACGGAAACCACTTTGTGGAAATGAAATCTGTTGCCTAACACACTCACTCTTTTGCCCTCTCTTCTTACTTATAGTGGGAATGTTATCATAGAGACAAAGTTTTTTGACGACGATCTTCTTGTAAGCACATCCAGAGTGAGACTTTTCTACGTTTGAGAGAAGAATGTGTGTGCATTTCAAGAATTTGGGTTTTTTGGAGGAAAGGAGGAAACTGTGTACTTTTTTCCTCCACACATTTGGTTTTTGACACTTCCACCCCTAATTCCCTGTTCGGCAGAACCCACCTGCGGCCACCAGGGGACCAGCTCTGTGTAGGTAACCAGATGGCTGTTAGCTCCGAGCCGCCATCTTCCACTGACCAGACTCAACTCCCAACCCCAGACCAGGGCAGAGGGTGAGCCTTGACTCCTTCCCAGGGTGACACGGGACAGACGCTTACCACAAGAGCCACTGCTGTTCCCGCCCCCGCCCTGCCTCCTCCTTGGGCCCTGCAGGCAACACATCTTCCTTTGGCCCCTGGTTTTGGAAAAATTCATATTCCTGACCTATGTTTAGTTTTTTTCCTACCATTTCTATTTCATACATTCTCATACATTTAACTTGTAAAATAGACTGTGATATTATTATTACGTAATGAATTAAAACATATGAATTAAAATATTCCTACAGTCTTTAGCATGGCACTGCTTTCATCTCTACTTTTTCTGGAACACGAACCCAGCCCCATGATGTGAAGACATTTATCAGACCGTAGGATCACAACTGTATTTTACTCCAGAGATCGACTGATCTTGCGTTCCCGATGCTTCAGTTGCTGCTTTCCGAGAACGTACAACGTACCCAAACAAGACCCATGACCTTAACGTTTGTGTTTGAGACATGATATGTAGTGGTTCTCTTCTGCAACATAGATGCTCCCTTTGTTTGTTTGTTGTCGCTTTTAACTTTTCTCATACCTTTATGATGTACCTTTGCTAAAGAGGTTTCCAGAAAGGGTAGAAGTTCCAAGCTGGCAGAGTAGAGACTCTTCTATTCTTACGTGAGAGGATAGAAGTTCCAGAATGGAGAAAAGATCTCCCCGAAGTCATGTGGAGAACAATGGGAACGCATCTGGGATGGGGTGGGTGCTGGGAGGCCTTAAAACCCAGGCAGAGGAAGCCAGCGTGGGAGACAGTGATGGTAGCTGGGTGCCCACAAGTCTGACATGACAGAGAAGGGTTCTTTTTTAGGAACTTAACCCTGAGCTACCAGCAGCCTTCGCTGTTCTTTATACAATACCAGCAATTAAAGGGCTTCCAGTTCACACAGTAGTAAGGGTCTGAGGCCACAGGGGAGGAGGATACACCCAGAGATGGGCTCTCTCTGGCATAGCCCCTGCTCATATATTCCTCCTCTGCTTCTGTCCATTACCAAAGGGTCTGCCAGCGTCTGTGGATGGGGAGGGGAAGGACATTTTTAGTGGACTATCACCATCTTTCAGTGATAATTCCATTCCTCACGTGAGGGCTCTTGTCTTCAAAAGCTAATTTTTAAATACCAAGATTGGATGAAAAAACAAAGTTAAAACGAATCCACATTTCCTTTTGCTTTCTGGAAATGCCATCTCTTCTCTCAGAGTGAACTCGCCCCCTTTCCCTGAACTACGTCTGTCCCCAGAATTCCAGCAGGGAAGGCTCTCAGGGAACTGGACACCTCACAGTGGCGAGAGGCTGTCCCAGGGAAGCTTCTCTCCCTGCTTAGAGCCTCCTTCACTGCCCTTCTCCACTTACTCACCCAGCCAGAACTCTCAGGGACACACTTCTTTGCCAACTGCTCTGAGGAAAAAAAGAACGATAGCCCAGTCATTCTTAGATGCTCCCCATCTCTTCAGGCAATGCATATGCTCAGGCGGTGTTGGTCATTTTATCACGAAACAAGGAAGGCCAAAAAAGTGTGCTCGGGGGACAGTGTGAGTGAGAGGTTCTGAGCTGTGCGGGAGGGACTGGAGCTGGCCTGGAGGATGGCTGCAGCTATGGTGGGAGGAGGAAGAGGGGAGGGGTACGGGCAGGGGTGAGCACAAGCAAAAGGAGAGGCCACAAGAGCTGTGGGGACAAGGGTCCTTACAGGTCAGAGTCAGCCGGTAGAGTGGGTGCAGGTCTAAAGGCCTGAGGAGCTGGGGGTTTTGTGGATACATCGAAGGCCACAGAATGTTACAAAGGAGAGACATGCAGCCCAGGCCTGGCACTTTTGCAGGCACCTGCCCCATGCCGACATCCGGATTCAGTAGGTGTGGGGCCCAGAAATCGCCCCGGTGATTCTGATGCAGGTGGTCTGTGGACCATACTCTGAGAAATGCTGGGCGAGCTGCAAGTGAGTGTTAGAGATGGATATACATACACAGTCAAGGGAAACTGAAGTGGCGTGCCAGGGCTTCAGCACTGAGTCCGGCCTCAGGCGCGCGGGGAGGGCTCGGAGGGAGTCCAGTCGACCGGAGGGGAACCGGCCACACTCAGGCCCCACTTACACGCTTCCCATATGCATACGTGGGAGGCACAGGCCTGCCTTTCGGAGGTTTGTCTCTGGTACAGGGACGTGACAGGTCTATAAATGCCTGCGATAAGGGAAGCACAAGGTGAATTTAAAGGAAGAAGAGAGAAAAGAATAAATGAAAAAAATGAGAAGAGATTACACACTTCAGAAAAATCAGGAAAGCCCTCTCTTCTCTGAATCGTTCAACTCTTAGCCTACAAAACATGTTCAAGTGACCCTAAAAATATAAATTTTTAAAAAATAAAGCTCGTGGGGCACCGGCGTGACCCAGTCGGTTAAGCATTGGACTTCAGCTCAGGTCGGGATCTCAGGGTCCTGGGGTGGAGCCCTGGTGCCGGGCTCTGCACTCAGCGGGGAATCTGCTTCTCTCCCTCCCTCTCTCCCTCTGCCCCTCCCCTGGCTCGTTCTCTCGCTCGCTAGCTCGCTCACTCTAATATATTTTTAAAAATTTAAAAAATAGGGGCGCCTCGGTGACTCAGTCCTTAAGCATCTGCCTTCGGCTCAGGTCATGGTCCCAGGGTCCTGGGATCGAGCCCCGCATTGGGCTCCCTGCTCCGCGGGAAGCCTGCTTCTCCCTCTCCCACTCCCCCTGCTTGTGTTTCCTCTCTCGCTGTGTCTCTCTCTGTCAAATAAATAATTAAAAAAAAAAAATCTTTAAAACTGTTTAAAAAAAAATTTTTTTTAAATAAGGCTTTCCTTCAATCCTGCAACACCTACACTCCCGCTCCATCCTTCTCTTTCTCTGCAGATCCAAATTCCTTAGGATTGTCTCCACTCACTCTTTTCACCCCCCTACCTCTCATTTACTCCTTAACTGCTGCTGTCTGGCTCTGGCCAGTGGCCTCCTTTCCTCCAACGCGTCGGTGAACTCCACTGATCCACTGCCCCCTTCTGGTCCTTCCTGCTTTGTCAGCTGCATTTGATCCTTCTGACATCTGGAAATTCTTGTGGATTCTGGGAGCCCCTTTCCTGGGAGTTCTGCTCCTTGCAGGCTCTTCATTTGCTTCCAACCACCTTGTCCCTAAAATGTTTGTTAGTGGATTTTTGGATTTTTGTTTTTGTTTTCTTTCTTTTTTTTCCTAGCTGTTGTATATCGAGAACATTCTATGTGCAAATTCTTTAAGTATTATGCATTCACTCCACGCATATTTATTGAGCACTTGTTATGCACCACTGTTTTAAATGGCGGACATACTTGCTGAACAAGACAGTGAAGTCCCTACCATCACATTCTAATGAGAAGAGACAGGAAGTGAATAATTTCAGATAGCAATCAATGCTCTGACAAAATAGGACAGTGCAATGGCAGCATCGGTCTGGTGTGAGAAGGAATGGAAAGAAGTCAGTGTTCAGCTTGTGACCACCAAAACGGGATGGACGAGTCCCCAGCAAGCCAACAGCCATGGAAAGCCGGGCTTTACTCAAAAAGGTTTTTAAGTCCCTTAAACTATCAACAAAGCAAGAACCAGTGGGGCCACAAACGATTGTCTCATTTACTACAAAGAGCTCCCCCCTGTGGGAGGAGTGCACCTGCCTCTCCCAGCCTGGTGTAGGGTGGAGAGGAAAAATGAAGAAGTAGGCCACAGAGGTCAGAGGCAGATGTCCCTGCTTTCCTTCACCGCACCCTCCCTCCCAGGCTGGGGTGGGACCAGCGGATAGAAACCAGGTTCAGGGGAAGCAAGAGAATTGCAGGGTTGATAACCACTTCCTGTAAGTTAGCGGGGAGAATGGGCTGCCCCATCATCCAGACCAAGGTCTGTTGACTAGCCTTACAAACATCTCTACCCCTACCTCTCAAGCTGCAGTTCCTATAACCACCTGGGGCCTGTCGGGCCAACAGCATCGTCTTCCCTTCTGATTTATCCTTCACATCTCGGCCAAAAAGAGCCCTGAAATGTGCGTCTGGTCACCAGTCCCTCTATATTGAACAGTTTATTTTTATTTATTTATTTTTTAAAGAAGGATTTATTTACTTAATTTTATTTTATTCATTTATTTGACAGAGAGAGAGACAGCGAGAGAGGGAACACAAGCAGGGGGAGTGGAAGAGGGAGAAGCAGGCTTCCCACTGAGCAGGGAGCCGGATGCGGGACTCAATCCCAGGACCCTGGGATCATGACCTGAGCCGAAGGCAGACAATGACTGAGCCACGCAGGTGCCCCTGAACAGTTTATTTTTAGAACTTCTTGCTAGTGACCTGGTAATTGCTTTGCAGCTGTCAAAATACACTGTTAAAATAGTCCTTGAAGTGAAGACCAACCTGGTTTGAAGCTAAGCAGCTTTGACCATAGTTTTGAGTAACCTGAAGGGTGAAGTGGAATGGAGTGAGAAGCAGAGATTTGGTGAATACAGTTGGTTCCCAAACTGTGCACCAAGGCACCCCAGGGCACTGCAGCAAATTCACAAGGGTGCCAAAGGATATTTTAATTTTTAAGGGAAACGCAGCCATTGGGGATGTCTGTTGTACAGTGCTCACTATTAGCTCAAGATAGTTCAGTTTCAACGTTATATTGCACCACACTACATTCTTTTTGATGAGCTATCTTTGGGAAACCGAATTTTTTGGCGTTTTGGTGATATGCAAGTACCCCTGAAAAGTCAGTGTGAACAGGGGTGCCGGGGTGACACAGTCGGTTAAGCATCCGACTTTTGGTTTCGGCTCAGGTCATGGGATCGAGCCCCACATCGGGCTCCACACTGAGGGCGGAGTCTGCTTGGGATTCTCTCCCTGTGCCCCTCCCAGCTGCATTCTCTTGCTCACTCTCTCTAAAATAAATGAAAAAAAAGGAAGTGTGAACAGCAAATGAGGGTGGTTGTGTCCAATCTGATTCCAAGGTTTGGGAAGCTGTGCCGTGCTTGGCAGGCACACCCTGCATCAGTAAGCCATTGTGATTATAAATAAAATAAAAATATTTTTTCTCTCAATTTACGTGGCTTTTCTTTTTCCAAAATAATATGACAGCTAATCGGTTAAGATATAAATACTTAACAAGTTGTTTGGACCTAACTACATAATATAAAAAAAGTATTTATTTTGGTTTTTTTGCACTGTGGAGAAATTACTGAGACACTAAGTTCTGTGAACAGAGAAAGTTCAGGAACCTCTAATAAGCCCTTAGTTTTTTGGGGTTTTTTTCCAGATTTTATTTTTATGTAATCTTTACCCCCAACAGGAGGCTCAAACTCATAACCCTGAGATCAAGAGTCACATACTCTACTGGCTGGCTCAGTCGGTAGGGCATGCAACTCTCAATCTTGGGGTCGTGAGTTTGAGCCCCATGTGGGGGTAGAGATTACTTAAAATATGCCTTTCAGAGGATTAGAAACACATGCTCATGCATTACCATCACTGAAAGCCACAGCAACAAGTGGGTATTGGCCACCCCCTTCTGAACCCTGAGTCAGCTCTTGGTTCCATGGAATGCTTCTGAATTCTTGTACTTATTAAAGAAAATGTTTTCAAAGGAAAAGAAGGCATTTATTCAAATTTCCTAAGAGTGGCTTTTTTAAGTGACTTGATTTATTCAAATCATCCCCCAAATAGCTCTTCTCAATTATAAGAGGATAAGCAAGATTATTAACACTTGCATGTTTTATATATAATCATTACTTTCATTTGGGGCTAAAGTATGTGCATTAGACCCATAGAACATGATAATCTGAATATGGTGCACAGGGCAGTTGTACATGATTGGTGTACCTCTTTACAGAACTCGAAATTTCATTTCATTTTTTATATGTTATAGAGATTGATAATGGTCATTCTTTTCTTTCCTGGTATGGTGGCCATACACACTTTATTCAGGGCCCAGCCCTTGGTCAGGATTGGAATCCAAATCCTCTCTTCCGGCAGATTGTCTAATTATTACTCTCTTTTTTAATTGGCTTGTATTCAGCAACAATCTGCAATACGTTTTGTACGATTAGGCTAAGGTTTTTCTTGGAGGGTTCACATTTACTTAAAAGTAGACACTTTGGATATTCAAGAGGTTTTAGACCATAATGATCCTCAAATATTTCCAGACTCAAATGATGCCGTTCTGGCGGTATCAGAATTCTGAGACCTCAGTGTGGATTTGATTGTGTTTTGAAGGAGGCATGCAATCATTTGCTGAAAAAACCTTGCCTCTCCCACAGGCACCTCCTTGGTCTCCCTGGGGAGGCAAGTGGCCCCAGGGAGTGCCACCTCTAAAAATGTCATTGCACAACAAGAGACTAACCACTTAAAAATTAAGTCGCTGTTTGTGACAGGCCCTTGAGCAGAGCAGGAAAATAATAGAA